GTGCAGTGGCTCATGCCTGTAATCCCAGCACTTTGGGAGGCTGAAGTGGGTGGATCCCTTGAGCTCAGTTGTTCAAGCCCAGCCTGGGCAACACAGTGAAACCTCATCTCTACAAAAAATACAAAAACTAGTCAGGCATGATGGTCCATACCTGTAGTCCCAGCTACTCGGGAGGTTGAGGCAGGAAGATCCCTTGAGATCAGTTCAAGACCAGGCTGGCCAACATGGTGAAACCTCATCTCTACTAAAAATACAAAAAATAGCCAGGCATCGTGACACATGCCTGTCATCCAGCTACTCAGGAGGCTGAGGCAGGAGGATCACTTGAACCTAGGAGCCAGAGGTTGCAAGTGAGCTGAGATCACACCACTGCACTCCAGCCTAGGCAACAGAGAAAGACTGTCTCCAAAAAAAAAAAAAAAAAGCCAGGCTGGGTGCAGTAGCTCACCCTTGTAATCCCAGAACTTTGGGAGGCTGGGGTGGGTGGATCACCTGAGGTCAGGAGTTCAAGAGCAGCCTGGCCAATTTGGTGAAATGCTGTCTCTACTAAAAATATTAAAAAAAAAAAAAAAAAAAAAAATTAGCCAGGCATGGTTGCAGGCACCTGTAATTCCAGCTATTCCGAAGAATCACTTGAACCCAGGAGCTGGAGGTTGCAGTGAGCCGAGATCTTGCCATTGCATTCCAGGCTGGGTAACAAGAGCAAGACTACATCTCAAAGAAAAAAGAAAAAAGACTTCAGTGGAGGAAGTAACTGCAGATGTGGTAGAAATAGCAAAAGAATTAGAATTCAGAAGTGGAGCATGAAGATGTGACTGAATTGCTGCAATCTCATGATAAAACTTAAATGGATGAGGGGTTGCTTCTTACAGATGAGCAAAGAAAGTGGTTTCTTTTTTTTTTTTTAGAAAGTGGTTTCTTAAGATGAAACCCACTCCTAGTAAAAATGCTGCAAACATTGTTGAAATGACAACAAAGGATTAAGAATATTACCTAAGCCAGGCAATGGCTCATGCCTGTAATCCCAGCACTTGGGAGGCCCAGGCAGGCAGCTCATGAGGTCAAGAGATGGAGATCATCCTGGCCAACATGGTGAAACATCATCTCTACTAAAGATACAAAAATCAGCTGGGCATGGTGGCATGTGCCTGTAGTTGCAGCTACTCAGGAGGCTGACAACAGAGCAAGACTGTTACCAAAAAAAAAACAAAAAAAAAAACCCTGAGAATACTGGGTGCTGTAGGCTTTTGGCCGGGCACAGTATCTCACGCCTGTAATCCCAGCACTTTGGGAGGCTGCAGCAGGTGGATCACAAGGTCAGAAGTTAAAGACCAACCTGGCTAAGATGGTGAAACCCCATCTCTACTACTAAAAATACAAAAATTAGCTGGGCATGGTGGCAGGCACCTGTAATCCCAGCTACCCGGAAGACGGAGGCAGAGAACTGCTTGAACCTGGGAAGTGGAGGTTGCAGTGAGCCAAGACTGTGCCACTGCACTCCAGCCTGGGTGACAAGAGTGAGACTCTATCTCAAAAAGAAACAAAAAAAAAGAATATTACCTAAACTTAGTTGATAAAGCAGCAGTGGCAGGGTTTTAGAGGATTAATTCCAATACTGAAAGAAATTCTGTGGGTAAAATGCTATCAAACAGCATTGCATGCTAGATAACTATTTTGTGAAAGGAAGAGTCCACTGATGTGGCAGGCTTCGTTGTTGTTGTTGTTGTTGTTTTATTTTTTTTTTTTTTTGAGACCAGAGTCTCACCCTATTGCCCAGGCTGGAGTGCAGTGGCATGATAACAGCTCACTGCAACCTCCGCCTCCTGGGTTCAAGCAATTCTCCTGCCTCAGCCTCCTGAGTAGCTGGGATTACAGGCACCTGCCACCACACCTGGCTAATTTTTGTATTTTTAGTAGAGACGGGGTTTCATCATCTTGGCCAGGCTGGTCTTGAACTCCTAACCAGATGACCCACCCACCTCGGCCTTCCAAAGTGCTGGGATTACAGGTGTGAGCCACCACGCCCAGCCCATAGCTGTCTTATTTTGGGAAACTGCCATAGCCATCCCAGCCTTCAGCACTCACCACCCTGACCAGTCAGCAGTCATCAACATCAAGGCAAGACCTTCCACCAGCAAAAAGATTAGATGATCATTAGTATAGTATTTTTAATTGTTTTTAATGTTTTTGGACATAATGCTATCTATTGCAAACGTAACAAGCTATAGTATAGTATAAACACAACTTTTCAAAAAATGTGTGACTCGCTTTATGCAGTGTTTCCTTTATTGTGGTGGTCAAGAACCACCAAACTTGCATTATCTCCAAGGTGTGTTTGTTTTTTCTTTTATCTTTCTTTATTTCTTTTTTTTTTTTTTTTTTTTGAGGCAGAGTCTGACTCTGTCACCCAGGCTGGAGTGAAGTGGCCCAGACCTGGCTCACCACAACCTCCGCCTCCCAAGCTCAAGCAATTCTTCCTACCTCAGCTTCCCGAGTAGCTGGGATTACAGACACGTGCCACCATACCCAGCTAATTTTTCTATTTTTAGTAGAGATGGGATTTTGCCATGTTGGCCAGGCTGATCTTGAACTCCAGACCTCCAGTGATCCACCCACCTCGGCCTCCCAAAGTGCTGGGGTTACAGGCATGAGCCACCACACCCGGCTGGTGTGCTGATTTTCATTTGAGTCCTTACGATGTGTTAGGCACTGTTATAAGCATTTTGTACATCAGTTAACTCATTTAATTCTCACATCCAGGTACTCACCAGGCCTGACCCTGCTTAGCTTCCAAGATCAGATCAGATTAGGCACATTCAGGGTGATATAGGAGTAGTCCGTTTAACTCTCATAACAATCCAATGAGGTAGAAAATATCAATTCTCCCCTTTTAGAAATGAGGAAACTGGCCGGGCGCGGTGGCTCAAGCCTGTAATCTCAGCACTTTGGGAAGCCAAGGCGGGTGGATCACAAGATCAAGAGATCGAGACCATCCTGGTCAACATGATGTCTCTACTAAAAATACAAAAAATTAGCTGGGCATGGTGGCGCATGCCTGTAATCTCAGCTACTCAGGAGGCTGAAGCAGAAGAATTGCCTGAGCCCAGGAGGCGGAGGTTGCAGTGAGCCGAGATTGCGCCATTGCACTCCAGCCTGGGTAACAAGAGCGAAACTCAGTCTCAAAAAAAAAAAAAAAAAAAGGCCGGGCGCGGTGGCTCAAGCCTGTAATCCCAGCACTTTGGGAGGCCGAGGCGGGTGGATCACGAGGTCGAACGATCGAGACCATCCTGGTCAACATGGTGAAACCCCGTCTCTACTAAAAATACAAAACAACTAGCTGGGCATGGTGGCGCGTCCCTGTAATCCCAGCTACTTAGGAGGCTGAGGCAGGAGAATTGCCTGAGCCCAGGAGGCGGAGGTTGCGGGTGAGCCGAGATCGCGCCATTGCACTCCAGCCTGGGTAACAAGAGCGAAACTCCGTCTCAAAAAAAAAAAAAAAAAAGAAAGAAAAAATAAATGAGGAAACTGAGGCACAGGGAAATGGAGGGATTTACATGAAGTCACACAGCTAGTAAGTGGCCAACAGCCTGTCTAATTCCACAGCCCTTGCCGTCCCCACCCCCATCCTGAGATCCTGTCTAGCTAGGTCATTGGCTGCTCTTGAAAAGTGTTTCCCCCTAGAGGTGTGAGTGACTATCATCCTGTGGTTCCTATTATCATTTAAACTGTGTTGTTTACTTAACAATACAGTTTATGCCAGAGCCATGGGGTCTAACACTTGAACACTTACTGTGTCCTTGGGTTTAAGTCTCTGAGCCCCTGTTTTCTTCATCTGTAAAATGGGGATAAAATAGGCTGGCTGTGAAGATTAAAATGAGATAAGGCATGGCAAGAGTTGAGTACAGTGCCTGGCACACAATCAGCACTGTCATGTTTCCTTTTATTTTTAAGAGACAGAGTCTCACTCTGTTGCCCAGGCTGGAATGCAGTGGCACAATCCTGACTCACTGCAACATCCACCTCTCGGGTTCTAGCAATTCTCCTGCCTCAGCCTCCTGAGTAGCTGGGACTACAGGTGTATGCCGCCATGCTGGGCTGATTTTTTGTATTTTAGTAGAGATGGGGTTTCACCATGTGGCCCAGGTTGGTCTTGAACTCCTGAGCTCAGGCAATCCACTCGCCTCCCAAAGTCCTAGGATTACAGGTGTGAGCCACCGAACCCGGCAGCACTGTCATGTTTCATGAATTAGTTGATATTGTCATTATCATTGCCACCATCATCATTAGATCCCTCTCACAGAAAGAAGTAGGGCACTGAGTCTGTGCCTTGGGCCTGGCCCCCAGTGGCCTAGAGCCTGGCACCTGAATTGGGTCATAGCATCCAAAGACTCTATGGGAGATGCTCAAGGGAAAGAAATGGGGTCTCAGTGGCCCTGCTAACAACTGCTGGGTTTGTGCCTGGGCCAGGTAGGCCCTACAACATAGGAAGGCCTCCGAAGCTGTATGTTTTAAGATTTTAAACACTTTCTCCTATGTGTATAGTAGAAAGCAGATGCACAGAACTTGCCTTAGCAGGTGGTTTGCTATTTAGTCAATCAACCCCCACTTACATGTGCCAAGCATTATATCCAGTCCCCAAATCCCAGAATCCCAAAAGTAATACTTGAGGTGTAAGTATGGTTAGTATTTTCAGGGATGTTTAGGAGAATATTTCCAACCTGCCTCCATTCAAGATTGCTATGAAAATGAAGAGACACTGAGATACCTCCGTTCTGTGAAAGCGTATGGAAACAATCCTACCTTCTGTAATTCAAGAACATTTCATCAAGTGTACACTATAAGCTCTAGGCCCTGGGAAAGGCCCACCCTCAAAAACCCATGGTGAACCACCAACTCCCACTAGGCCCTTGGTTCCAGTCTCAGAGGAGAATGGCAGGTGGCGTGGCCCACTGCTATGACCTGAGGACAGATCCCATGGCCTCAAGGTAATAGACTATTACCTTTGGGGACATCGTGCTCCAAGGAGTCCATGAAATCCAAGGAGGGGTCCAGGTCAGCCTTCTCAAGCAAAGTCTTATTCTTTAGCTCAACAGGCTCCCTGAAGTGGAAGTAGGAGCTGAGCTTCTTGGCCTCAGACAATGACAGTCCTAGAAAGAGGTGGCAGGCAGGAAAAGGATGGTTAGCCTAAAATCCCCCAGCCCCCTTTCTCTCTGCATTGGGACCACATGGTGGGGCTTGCAAAAGACGCTGTCAACCACTGACAGACAGCTGAAGGAATAAAAGGGATTAGTGTTCCCGCAGTCTAAACTTAGACCAGATCCTGCCACAGAGTCCCCCCAGACGCAGTGGCTCACACCTGTAATCCCAGCACTTTGGGAAGCCCAGGCAGGAGGATCACCTAAGGTCGGGAGTGTGAAAGCAGCCTGGCCAACATGGTGAAACCCTGTCTCTACTGAAATACAAAAATTAGCTGGGTGTGGTGGTAGGTGCCTATAATTCCGGCTACTCAGGAGGCTGAGGCAGGAGAATCATTTGAACTCAGGAGGCAGAGGTTGCAGTGAGCCAAGATTGTGCCATCGCACTCTGGCCTGGATGATAAGAGCGAAACTCAAGAAAAAAGTGGGCTAGGTGTGGTGGCTCATACCTATAATCCCAGCAGTTTGGGAGGCTGAGGCAGGCAGATCATGAGGTCAGGAGATCGAGAACATCCTGGCCAACATGGTGAAACCCCATCTCTGCTAAAAATACAAAAAATTAGCTGGGTGTGGTGGCACACACCTGTAGTCCCAGGTACTTGGGAGGCTGAGGCAAGAGAATCTCTTGAACCCAGGAGGCGGAGGTTGCAGTGAGCCAAGACTGCACCACTGCACTCCAGCCTGGGGACAGAGTGAGACTCTGTCAAGGAAGGAAGGGAGGGAGGGAGGGATGGGAGGGAAAGAGACAGGGGAAAGGGGAGGGGAAAGAGAAGGGAAGGAGGGGAGGGGAGGGTCCAAGGAGGAGATAGGAGGAAGGAGATAGGAAACAGCAGGTAGCCCAGACCCATGTAAAGCCCTGGGACCAGGGGACTATATGCTCTCCTCAGCTGAAGAGAGTCAGGGGCCATTGACTGGGGAGCCCATACCAACCACCGGGGCCAGGTCACTGGGCACACCTTCCCAGGTGATAAGGTCACAGCTACTCCTTCTTTGATGAAGCGTGCAAGTCCCCCTGCTGTACTCCCAGACATAAGTTCTACTGTCTGGGAAAAAGACACCCTCCAGACCTTGAGAGGGGCCCCAGAGAATTCACCTTCAAAGGTCCGATTGACATGGGTGGGTCCAAAAGGGGTCTTGAAGAGGGCGCCTCGAGGGATGATGGCCACAGCCTTGTCAATCTGGTCAATGACATACACTAAGCGGGTCTCTTCCTTGATCTGGACCTGAGGAGACAGGAGAGGAGTATCCTGCCAGGGCACTGTGCCCATCCACCCCAGTGCAAGGTCCCTCTACATGGCCATCTCACCTGCAGCACCGCAGTGTAGTGGACACCAAAGCCACACAGATCACACCTGGCAAGCCCTGGCCTTCCTTCCTACCAAGATGTTCTTCCTTTCTATTTTATGTTTTAATTTATAACACATACAGGTGGTATGGTATTCAAAACTAGAAAAATGTAGTCTTTCACCCCAGTCCCTGAGCCCCTAGTTGCCCTAACTGGGGACAACCATCATTGAAGGTTTCTGATGCACTCTTCCAGAGGCATACCATCCTATTAATGTATTTAAATGTTGCTTATTTTGCCTTTTAAAAATATAAATGTAATCATGTTCACTGTAGAATATGTGGATAATATAGAAAGACATACCAAAGAGAATTAAAACCACTCAAAATCCTACCTCCTAAAGAGAATCACTGATAACATATTGGTATACTTTCTTCGTGGTTTGTTTTTTGTTTTGAGACAGGGTCTCATTCTGTCACCCAGGCCATGTGCAGTGGCACAATCATGGCTCAATGCAGCCTCAACATCCCAGGCTCAGATGATCCTCCCACCTCGGCCTCCCAAGTAGCTGGGAATGTAAACACATGTCACCACACCTGGCTAACTTTTTTTTTTCATTTAGTTAGTTTTTGAGACAGAGTCTTGCTCTGTCACCCAGGCTGGAGCACAGTGCACGATCTCAGCTCACTGCAACCACCACCTCCTAGGTTCAAGTGATTCTCCTGCCTCAGCCTCCTGAGTAGCTGGGACTACAGGCATGTGCCACTGTACCCAGCTAATGTTTGCATTTTTTTTTTTTTTTTTTTTTTTTTTTGAGACGGAGTTTCGCTCTTGTTACCCAGGGTGGAGTGCAATGGCGCGATCTCGGCTCACCACAACCTCCGCCTCCTGGGTTCAGGCAATTCTCCTGCCTCAGCCTCCTGAGTAGCTGGGATTACAGGCACGCGCCACCATACCCAGCTAATTTTTTTGTATTTTTAGTAGAGACAGGGTTTCACCATGTTGACCAGGATGGTCTCGATCTCTTGACCTCGTGATCCACCCGACTCGGCCTCCCAAAGTGCTGGGATTACAGGCTTGAGCCACCGCGCCCGGCCTAATGTTTGCATTTTTAGTAGAGACAGTTTCGCCATGTTGGCCAGGCTGGTCATGAACTGATCTCAGGTGATCTATCTGCCTAGGCCTCCCAAAGTGCTGGGATTACAGGCATGCACTTGCCCACCCAATTTTTGTATTTTTGGTAGAGATGGGGTTTCTCCATGTTGCCCAGGCTGGTCTTGAACTCCTGGGCTCAAGGAATCTGCCTGCTTCAGCCTTCAACGTGCTAGGATTACAAGGTGAGCCACAGTGCCCAGCCCTCTATGCATATATTTAAAGCAAAATTAGAGTCACAGTTTATATTGTTTCATATCCTTGTCTTCAGTTTAACATTATTTCCCAAGCATTTCCCCATATTGTACCCTTTTTACACAGATGATATTTAGTTACAGTTACTATCTAGGGCAACGCCAAACAAAAGGATTTCATAGAGAATTTGTGGAAGAGCCTGACAGAGAAAGCATGTCAACTAAGGCCCCTAGAGAGTCACTGGGTCACCTATTTGCCATAGGCTGCCTACTTGAACGATTTACATAGGAAAGGTAGACACTAAGCTTTTAAGTGCTGAGGCCAGGGTCTTTACTTATGTTACCTCATTCAATCTACACAAGCCTGCAAAGTAAATACAATTATCTCAATTTTACAGAAAAAAAAAAATAATAAGCCAGGCACAGTGGCTCATGCCTGTAATCCCAGCACTTTAGGAGGCTGAGGTGGGAGGATTACCTGAGGTCAGGAGTTCAAGACCTGCCTGCCCAATATGGCAAAACCCCATCTCTTTTAAAAATACAAAAAATTGGCCGGGCGCAGTGGCTCAAGCCTGTAATCCCAGCACTTTAGGAGGCCGAGGCGGGTGGATCACAAGGTCAAGAGATCGAGACCATCCTGGTCAACATGGTGAAACCCCGTCTCTACTAAAAATACAAAAAAAATTAGCTGGGCATGGTGGCGCGTGCCTGTAATCCCAGCTACTCAGCAGGCTGAGGCAGGAGAATTGCCTGAGCCCAGGAGGCTGAGGTTGAGGTGAGCCGAGATCGCACCATTGCACTCCAGCCTGGGTAAAAAGAGCAAAACTCTGTCTCAAAAAAAAAAAAAAAAAAAAAAAAAACCCACAAAAAATTAGCTGGGCATGGTGACAGGTGTCTATAATCCCAGCTACTCAGGAGGCTGAGGCAGGAAAATCACTTGAACACAGGAGGCAGAGGTTGCAGTGAGCTGAGATCATGCCACTGCACTCCAGCCTGGGCAACAAGAACGAAACTCCATCTCAAAATAATAATAATAATAAAACTGAGGCTCAGGAAGATTAAGTTGATCTGGTAGGAGTGGATGGGGGTTGCAACTTAGGCCTCACAGACCTAGACTCAGACTTTTGCCATCACCCAGGTTCAAGAGAAGCAGCTGGGCTTTAAATTCTGGGATTGTACAGTTTCAAAACTTGAGCTCCTAGGCTGGGCGCGGTGGCTCAAGCCTGTAATCCCAGCACTTTGGGAGGCCGAGGCGGGCGGATCACAAGGTCAAGAGATCGAGACCATCCTGGTCAACATGGTGAAACCCCGTCTCTATTAAAAATACAAGAAATTAGCTGGGCATGGTGGGGCGTGCCTGTAATCCCAGCTACTCGAGAGGCTGAGGCAGGAGAATTTCCTGAACCCAGGAGGCGGAGGTTGCAGTGAGCCGAGATGGCACCATTGCACTCCAGCCTGGGTAACAAGAGCGAAACTCCGTCTCAAAAAAAAAAAAAAAAAAAAAAACACTTGAGCTCCTTACTTGTTAACCTAGCAAGTCTATTTCCAGGAACTGACCTTCCCAAGAATTACACACAATGGAAATGATGTTTGTTTGTTTGTTTTTTTTAATTGCTCTTTTAGTTTCAGATTCTGCAGAAGGAAATGATGTCTATATGGTCATTTATTATGGTAACGTTTGTTAGAACTAAAATTTGGAAACCAGCTGGATGAGATGGCTCATGCTTGCAATCCCAGCACTTTGGGAAGCTGAGGTGGGAGGGTCGCCTGAAGCCAGGAGTTCAAGACCAGCCTGGGCAACATAGCAAGACACATTTCTATCAAAAAATACAAAAATTAGCCAGGTGTGGTAGTATGCACCTATAGTCCCAGCTCCTTGAGAGGCTGAGCTGGAGGATCACTGGAGCCCAGGGTATGGAGGCTGCAGTGAGCCACGATCATGGCATTACACTACAGCCTGGGCAACAGACTGGGACTCTGTCTCCAAAACAAATAAAAACAAAATAAAACTTGGAAACCTATATTTTCATGAACAAGATACTGGTTAAATTATGGTACATTCCCACAATGGGAGGAGGAGGAGGAGGAGGAAGAGGAGGAGGAAGGAGGAAGGAGAAAGAAGGAAGAAGGAAGAAGGAAGAAAAAGAAAGAATGGAGTTGGGCACAGTGGCTCACATATGTAAAAACAACACTTTGGGAGGCTGAGGCAGGTGGATGACCTGAGATAGGGAGATCAAGACCAGTTTGGCCAATATGGTGAAACCCTGTCTCTACTAAAAATACAAAAAATTAGCCGGGCATGGTGTCAGGCACCTGTAATCCCACCTACTTGGGAGACTGAGGCAGGAGAATCATTTGAAGTCAGGAGGTGGAGGTTGCAGTGAGCCAAGATGACCCCCTTACACTAAAGCCTGGGCATGACAGCAACTCAGTCTCAAAAAAAAAAAAAAAAGAATGGGAATGCTCTTTAAGGCACTGATATAGAAAGAGCTCCAAAATATATTGCTAAGTGAAAAAAGCAAGGTTCAAAACCATGTGTATAACATACTGTCATTTGTTTTGCTTTGTTTCTTAAGATAAAAAGAGAATGTGTAGGTATGGTGTTTGTTGAGGCTTATGCTTGCATGAAATGTCTCCAGAAACAGCATCTAGAAATTTAATGTGAACTCAGGCCGGGCGCGGTGGCTCAAGCAGGTAATCCCAGCACTTTGGGAGGCTGAGGTGGGTGGATCATCTGAGGTCAGGAGTTCGAGACCAGCCTGATCAACATGGAGAAACCCTGTCTCTACTAAAAATACAAAATTAGCTAGGCGTGATGGCATATGCCTATAATCTCAGCTACTCAGGAGGCTGAGACAGGAGAATCATTTGAACCCAGGAGGTCGAGGTTGCAGTAAGCCAAGATCACACCACTGCACTCCTACCTGGGCAACAAAAATGAAACTCCATCTTAAAAATAAAATAAAATTTAATGTGAATTCAAATGACCAGGGGATTTTTTAAAAGGCAGATGCCTAGCCGGGCACGGTGGCTCACACCTGTAATCCCAGCACTTTGGGAGGCCAAGGCGGGTGGATCACGAGGTCAAGAGATCGAGACCATCCTGGTCAACATGCTGAAACCCCATCTCTACTAAAAATACAAAACATTAGCTGGGCGTGGTGGCGCGCACCTGTAATCCCAGCTACTCAGGAGGCTGAGGCAGGAGAATTGCCCGAACCCAGGAGGCAGAGGTTGCGGTGAGCCGAGATCACGCCATTGCACTCCAGCCTGGGTAACAAGAGCGAAACTTTGTCTCAAAAAAAAAAAAAAAAAAAAAAAAGGCAGATGCCTGATGCTGGGGCCCAAGATTCTATATTTCTAACTCCTAGGACATGATAAAGCTTCTGATCCAGACTCTACTTTGAGCAGAAAAATTTAGACGCGCACATACACATATGTATACACATATGCACATGCAAAATAGTTAATGTCAGGCTGCCGCAGTGGCTCACACCTGTAATCCCAACACTTTGGGAGGCCAAGGCAGGTGGATCACCTGAGGTCAGGAGTTTGAGACCAGCCCTGGCCAACATGGTAAAACTCGTCTCTACTAAAAATACAAAAGTTAGCTGGGTGTGGTGTCAGGTGCCTATAATGCCAGCTACTCTGAAGGCTGAGGCACGAGAATCGCTTGAACCTGGTAGGCAGAGGTTGCAGAGCCGAGATGGCGCCACTGCACTCCAGCCTGAGCAACACAGCGAGACTCTGTCTCAAAAAAAAAAAAAAAAAGTTAATGTCCCCTAAAACAGAGGACCTATGTGACTGGTGGACAGAGATAGGAGGAAACTTTACAATATTCCTTTTTATACCTTTGAATTTTGAACATCTGACGTACTGTTTTGTGAAATGAAAACTGATACTAAAATATGAGAGTCTGTGCACATTCCCTGACCCCAGAGTATGACACAGAGCACCACCTCTTCCCAGTCCTCACCCCAGAACCTACCCACTGCCTTTATCCAGTTGCTTAGGAGCTAGCTGTGTGGATTTGGGCACGTCACTTAACCTCTCTAAACTGGCAGGAGAATGTCCTCTTCTCTACAACCTGGAAAGTAATGTACCAACTCCATAGGGTTTTAGGATGAAAACAGATGACACAAACACAGTAGCACGGTGCCTAGCACACCCAGATACTCAATAACCAAGGTGGCACAAAGGTAATAATAACATTAGTCGCCAGGCATGGTGGCTCACGCCTGTACTCCCAGCTATTTGGGAGGCTGAGGCAGAAGGATGATTTGAGCCCAGGAGTTTGAGACCAGCCTGGGTAACAGTGAGATTCCTGTCTCAAAAAAGAAGGAGATAATGATGGTACCTGTTGCCATAATTTGGACTGGGCTGGGTTTTGGATGACCCCAGGCCCTCTTTTAGGCCCTCTTCCTTCCCTCCTCTTCACTCACCACTACTTCTTCTTCAAAGACCTTTTCGCCTTCATTCACCTTCTGCAGCTCAATGTGTTCATACTCGTGTGATGGGTCCCCCATGAAGCGGCCCTTCACCACAGACGACTGCGCCACCATCTCCTCTGTGGCAGGGGGCAAGAGGCTCCACTCCGTGCAATTGAGGCTGCCAACAATATTCACATCACCCCCGGATTCCAACTCCCTGCTCACCCAGTCTTCCTACTATCTCCCCTTCTCTCTAGTGGGTTAGGCCCAGGAAAAGCTGTTGAAATTGCGATCTTTTCTCCCAATAGTGAGACCTGTAGTGAGACCTTTAGAAGCCCCAAGGGCCAACAGGATGTGGTGGCTCACGCCTGTAATCCCAGCGCTTTGGGAGGCGCAGGCAGGCAGATCACTTAAGGTCAGGATTTCGAGACCAGCCTGGCCAACATGGTGAAACCCCATCTCTACTAAATATACAAAAAATAGTGGGGCGTGGTGGTACGTGCCTGTAGTCCCTAGCTACTCAGGAGGTTGAGGCAGGAGAATCGCTTGAACCTGGGAGGTGGACGTTGCAGTGAGCCAAGGACGCACCACTGCACTCCAGCCTGGGTGACAGAGCAAGACTTTGACTCAAAAACAAACAAACGAAAGCTCCAAGTGCCAATAGTGAACCCACCCTCATATGTATAAGCAGATTCAATTTCATTCATTCCATGTATGCTGAAATTAAATGAGCCTCTTCCTAGATATCCAGACTGAAATTCCAGATGAGTTTCTTTTTTTTTTTTTTTTTTGAGACGGAGTTCCGCTCTTGTTACCCAGGCTGGAGTGCAATGGCGCGATCTCGGCTCACCGCAACCTCCGCCTCCTGGGTTCAGGCAATTCTCCTGCCTCAGCCTCCTGAGTAGCTGGGATTACAGGCACGCGCCACCATGCCCAGCTAATTTTTAGTATTTTTAGTAGAGACGGGGTTTCACCATGTTGACCAGGGATGGTCTCGATCTCTCGACCTCGTGATCCACCCGCTTCGGCCTCCCAAAGTGCTGGGATTACAGGCTTGAGCCACCGCGCCCGGCCCCAGATGAGTTTCTGATAGCTACTTTCTTCAGTTATGGACCCATGTTTTGGTGGGCCCTAAATTCATGCTCAGCCTGCCCACTGAATCAACAGCACAACCATTTCCTCCCATTTCTCGGGAATGCCAGACCTACACTCAAGGACTTCTCATTTGAGGTCTTCAGGAGCACTCACCAGGCCCACCTGCTCCCTTCTTTCTCACTTCCTGCTGCTGGGAGAGGCGGTCCTTCCCATGCCTCTCAAATACACCCTGGGCCTGGGTCCCCAGCCTGGTCGCTGCACATCCTCCTGCCCTTCACTCTCCACCAATTCCCCTCAATATAAAAACTGCTCAGCCTACTAAAACAGCAGGCCTCCAAATCCACGTAGTTCTAGAAAACGCTGTTCCTGTCCTTCCCTCCCTCTTCCCCAACTCTCAACAATAATCTCAGAACAATTGCCCTGTGGGTGCCTCTCCTCTCCCTCTTTTTCACTCTTCAGCCCACTGCACTGCGATTTCTGCCCCCACCACTTCAAGAAACTGCTTGGGAGAAGGCCATGACACCTAACAGCCAACAAATGCATCTCCAGTTCTATTTCCTCTGACATCTGCCTTTCCCCTCCTCCAGGGCCTCAGGCATTTCCAGGGACCTATTCTCACCCCTCTTTTCTTTCTGCAGTCTTACCCACCTGCCTTCCAGAGCCCCAGCTACTGCCTAGTCAGTATCCAGAATCCAGCCACTTCCCACCACTTCCACTGCTCCCACCCTGGCCCAAGCCACCTACTACCTAGATATTGCCGTAGACTTTTAACTAGTCTCCCTGCCTCCACATCTATTTCCCCTTTGGACTAGTCCCCACCCAACTGTTCACACCTAAGCCAGATCATGTCACTCCTCTGTGGAACCTTCCAATGGCTTCCCATTAAGCCAAGTCTTGCAATGCCCCACAAGGCCCTGTATGATGGCTTCCCACCCCTCACCTCTCTGACCTTGTGTCCTACAACACTCCCCTCACTCATTCCTCTCTAGCCACACTAGTCTCCATGGGGTTCCACAAACACACTAAGCACACACCTGCCTCAGGGCCTTTGCACTTGCCTAGAATTCTCTTCCCTCCCTCAGATATTTACATAGCTCATGCTCTCAGTCGCTTCAGGTGTCTTCTCAAATGTGACCTTATCAAAGAGGCTATCCCTGATCCACCTATTTAAAATAGCACCCCATGCTGTATTCTCTATCCCTCTTAGCTTTTAACATCATCTGACATGTAATAGATGTCTGTGTTTAGCTATTGTCTATCTCCCCTTCTCTGCCCCCTAACACACACTACAATGTAAGCTCCATGAAGACAAGGACTTCATTTACCATTGAATTCCTGGTGTCTAAATCAATACGTAGCACATGGTAGTACATAGTAGGTGCTCAGCAAATGCTCATAGAATGAAACGAATCACAAATCTCTATCTTCAGTTCAACTTTTTCTTCTGTATTCCAAATGCCTTCTTAACACCTTATAACTCAGGCACCTCACATCAAATTCACTGTGTCTTCCCTAGTCCTGCCCCTGAATTCTCTCCTGAGTGGTGCTAGTACTTACTTACTCAGCAGTCTAAGCTAGAAGGAGGACTCAGCCTTGACCTCTTCTTTACAACTATCCTCCTTCAATCAGTCACGTGTACTGACAATTCCAGCACTTAAATCTTTCCAACCCATCCCCTCCTCTGCATTCCCTCAGCTACCTCTTCCTTTCAGGGTTCATTCATAGAAACACTACCGTGAACTCCTAACCATAGTGCTCACCACACTTTCATTCTGCCCTCTGTGACCTAAGCAGGCTCTTCTTGCAAGCCCCTCAGTAGTTCCCCATGACCTATGAACAAAGTTCCATATTCTTTCGCCTGACGAACCGGTTCTACACAACACTGTACTCCTGTTCTCCCAAACACTCTGAGCCTTCCGCAGCCAACAAAAGTTTGTCTAACTGTTCCCTCTAACAGGTATGCAAAACTTGCCTTTAGTATACCTGCTCATCTTTCAATCTTTCAGAACTCAATGCAAGTTACTCCCTTAGTTATCTTATTTAGTTTTTCTCTAGAATGCCCACCTTGGTGTCCCTTCGTGTACATCTCTAATTTTAACACATCGTGCTGGAATTGCTGATTGACTCATCAGTTTTCCTCCCTAGGACATGAATAACTTAGAGACAGATGTGCAGTGCCATCTTAGCAACCAAGTTTAGCACAGGGTGCACCCAATCAATGTTGGATTGATACATGGATAGATGAATGAAGTCTCCAACTACCTGTAGCCTAGGTGAACTGCTTTATTTTACTTATTTATTTTTTGAGATGGAGTTTCACTCTTGTTGCCCAGGCTGGAGTGCAATGGTGAAATCTCAGCTCACTGCAGCTTCCACCTCCCGAGTTCAAGAGATTCTCCTGCCTCAGCCTTCCAAGTAGCTGGGACTGCAGTTGTCTGCCACCATGCCCAGCTAATTTTTTGTATTTTTAGTGGAAACAGGTTTCACCATGTTAGCTGACTAACATGGTCTCAAACTCCTGACCTTAGGCGATCCACCCACCTCAGCCTATTAAAGTGTTGGGATTACAGGTATGAGTCAATGTGCTGACATTTTAATTTTTGAAGTTTGTTTATTTATTTATTTTGAGACACAGAGTGTCGCTCTGTTGCCCAGGCTGGAGTGTAGTGGCTCAATCTTGGCTCACTGCAAACTCCACCTCCCGGGTTCAAGCAATTCTCCTGCCTCCGCCTCGAGAGTAGCTGGGACCACGGGTGCCGCCACCATGCCTGGCTAATTTTTGTATTTTTAATAGAGATGAGGTTTCACTGTGTTAGCCAGGATGGTCTCGATCTCCTGACCTTGTGATCTGCGGCCCGCTCAGCCCCTCAAAGTGCTGGGATTACAGGCGTGAGCCACCAAGCGTGTCTTCTTTTTTTTTTTTTTTTTTTGAGACGGAGTTTCGCTCTCGTTACCCAGGCTGGAGTGCAATGGCGCGATCTCGGCTCACCGCAACCTCCTGCCTCCTGGGCTCAGGCAATTCTCCTGCCTCAGCCTCCTAAGTAGCTGGGATTACAGGCACGCGCCACCACGCCCAGCTAGTTTTTTGTATTTTTAGTAGAGACGGGGTTTCACTATGTTGACCAGGATGGTCTCGATCTCTCGACCTCGTGATCCACCCGCCTCGGCCTCCCAAAGTGCTGGGACTACAGGCTGAGCCACCGCGCCCGGCCTTTTTTTTTTTTTTTTAATAGTGATGAGGTCTTGTTATATGGCCCAGGCTGGCCGAATGAACTGCTTTATAAGGTAGTAAGTTCCCCTATAGTCAATGGATCACTTGAGGCCAGGAGTTTGAGACCAGCCGGGGCAGCATGGTGAAACTCTGCTCTACTAAAAATACAAAAATTAAAATAAATAAATAAATAATTAGCCCGGCGCGTTGGCTCACGCCTGTAATCCCACCACTTTGGGAGGCTGAGGCGGGCGGATCATGAGGTCACGAGTACGGGAGTACGAGACCAGCCTGGCCAACATTGTGAAACCTCCACCTCTACTAAAGATACAAAAAATTAGCCGGATGTGGTGGCGCGCGTCTGTAATCCCAGCTACTCAGGAGGCTGAGGCAGGAGATTCGCTTGAACCCGAGAGGTTACAGTGAACCAAGATTGCGCCACTGCACTCCAGCCTGGGTGACAGAGAGGGACTCTGAAGAAAAGAAGAACGGGGGAGGGGAGGGGAGGGCGGAAGAGAGTAGGGGAGGGGAGAGCGAGGCTGGATGGTCCTGCGTGGTAGCGACCAGGGAATTTTCCCCAGCTCCCTCCCCACTCCGCATTCGTTCTCTACTTCCAAAGGTGCCTCCAGCTGCAGAGCAGACACCTCCATCACAGAGCACCACCCACTCCTCCGGGCGTCTGACCCTTCTCCAAACCGAGCCAGGCCCAACACCTGGCTGGCACCTGTCTTCTTCTCCAGGTCCGCATTTTCCAGAAACCTTCCCACCGCTTCACCTGCGTTCTTGACCTATGTCTCCTCTGTAAACCATCCGCATCCGGGTTTCTCTTGGCCTCTTGAGGCGGAAAACAGGTCTCCGCAGGGCCCCGCCCTCCGGGACCTCGCCCGTCCGTGGCCCCGCCCCCTCAGGCTCCTCCCCAGCCTCGGATTCCGAGACGAGCCAATCCCCGCCCTTTTCCTCAACCACTCCTCGACCGTCCCCAGGTCCGCCCCTCCGGCCCTGCCCCATTCCACTCACTTCAGCTCCCGCCCACCCCTCCCTTGGCCCTATGGGCCCCGCCCACTCCCGCGTTTCTCCAGTAGCCGCACCCTGGGGGCCGGCGGCGGCCCCGCCCCGAGGGCCTCCTCACCTGTAGAGCGTCTTGCGCGGTGCCAGCTGGTCCTCACTCAGGCCCTGCGCGATGTAGTAATCGGCGACCAGGCCGAGAATGCGGCCCCAGAAGAGAACCCGATCGTAGCGGTAGTCGCGCTTAACCAGCATAAGAGACGTGAGCAGCGAGGCCCGACGGTCCGGGCTGAGGCCCTGCCCACTGCCGGACGCCAGCTCCAGCGACAGCAGGAGGCTCTCGGCGTCCATCAGGCTTGCGGCTCTGCTCAACGCCCGTCTGGTTGCTAGGAGAAGCCGTCTCCATGGAGACCTGAAGCTCCGCCCTTCCGCCTAGCAGGAAGCTAGGTTCCACCCACCCTACCGCCTACCGCCCAGCCCTCCTCCCTACGGAGCCCTACCGTAAGGCCTGGGCAAAACATCAGCCTCCACCCTCCTCCTTTCTGGAGTTTGAGACGGGATGTGTTCAGTTGTCACGGCCACAGCATGGCTTCCCCTACTGCAGTTAGGCCACAATGTGGGGTTGGAGGTCCCAACCCAGCCTTTTTCAATGGCCCTCCCTGAGCCCTTTCACATAGTTGACATTTAGAATCTTTACCGTATATGCAGCTGGGGTCTGGAAAGAAAACAATACAAACCCCGAACACTGACACTAACTGTACTATTTCACCCCTGTCATGTCACTTCCTGACCTCAGAAAGATCCGTGAAGAAAAGAATTTGAGATTCCTCCTGGCTCTAATTAAGATCCTGACAACCCCACTGCCACCACCCCCACCCCATCCCAAGCCAGGTCTTATAGAATGAGGTCCATCCATTCTCTTCCATCTTCACCAACCGCTTTTTTATCTACCCTATTCTAAAGGACAAATGAAGATCTAGGCAATGGAGCAAGGCATAGGGTAACACCTTCCGAAAGGAGGGTGGGGAGAGGACAAACATAAACAGGTTCCTCAGCATGGCTGTTGACACGGAAGGAGATGGGCTTTACTGTTAATGTTGCTAATTGATATTTTCATTTCTGGATTCCCTTGAAGAGCACTCATGAAATCAGAATGACCCAGGCCCCAGTAGATAAATAAGTGTCTAAATTACCCAGATACTTTAATTATCTGGGCATTGTTGGTTTTGGGGGGTTGTCTTGACAAGATCTCACTTTGTCACCAGGCTGGAATGTAGTGGTGTGTGATCTTGGCTCACTGCAGCCTAGACTTCCTGGGCTCAAGTGATCTTCCCACCTCAGGCCCCCAGGTAGCTGGGACTACAGGTGTGTGCCACCATGCCCATCTTTTTTTTTTTTTTTTTTTTTTTTTTGTATTTTTAGTAGAGACGAGATTTCACCATGGTAGCCAGAATGGTGTTGAACTCCTAAGCTGAAGTGATCTGCCCGCCTCAGACTCCCAAAAGTTCTGGAAGGCAAATCTCGGCTAAATATTTCAGAGTAAAACCACATACGATGTGCAGTAGTGTAGACAAATCCAAGTTTCACCACTTAGGCAAGCTACTCAATCTCCTCTAGCCTCATGGGAAGATCACTTGAGCCCAGGAGGTCGAGGCTGCAGTGAGCCAAGATCACACACCACTACACTCCAGCCTGGGTGACAAAGTGAGACCCTGTCAAGATTACAGGCATGAGCCACCATACCCAGCCTTAGGCATTGTTTATGAAGGCTTTTAAAATTAGTATTTGGCCAGACGTGGTGGCTCACACCTATAATCCCAGCCCTTTGGGAAGCTGAGATGGGTGGATGACCTGAGGTCTAGAGTTTGAAACCAGCCTGGCCAACATTTTGAAACCCCATCTCTATTAAAAACTTAAAAAAGTAGGCCGGGCGCAGTGGCTCAAGCCTGTAATCCCAGCACTTTGGGAGGCCGAGGCGGGTGGATCACAAGGTCAAGAGATCGAGACCATCCTGGTCAACATGGTGAAACCCTGTCTCTACTAAAAATACAAAAAATTAGCTGGGTATGGTGGCATGTGCCTGTAGTCCCAGCTGCTCGGGAGGCTGAGGCAGGAGAATTGTCTGAACCCAGGAGGCGGAGGTTGCGGTGAGCCGAGATCGCGCCATTGCACTCCAGCCTGGGTAACAAGAGTGAAACTCCGCCTCAAAAAAAAAAAAAAAAAATTAAAAAAGTAGCCAGGCATGGTGGCACAGGCCTATAATCCTAGCTACTTGGGAGAATGAGGCAGAATTGCTTGAGGCAGGAGAATTGCTTGAACCTGAGAGGCAGAGATTGTAGTGAGCCAAGATCATGCTACTGCACTGCAGCCTGGGCAACAGAGTGAGACTCCATCTCAAAAATACAAGTAAATAAATAAAATTAGTATTTAGGGAGTTGTTTGGCTTAATGTGTTATCTCAAAACGATTTACAACTCCTTTGTTAAGGACTACCCGCACTCCCTTTAGGCAGACCCCTCAGCCTTTCCTTTCCCTGAGTGGGAGACAAGGCCCAATCTCTCCTCTATAATAGCATTAGACAGAAAAACAGCCAAAATTCTGGCTGGCAGAATCTCTCTCTAGTAGTCACAGCATAGAAAAGAGCCCAGGTGTTTTGCTTTCGTTGATTCCATATTTACTCAGCACCTATTGCAGAATCCATGGCAGACACAAGAAACTAAAGCCAGAAAAGAATCCTGAAGCTTTTCGATGCTAATGCCTTTGGCAAGGCAAATCCTGCCTAAATATTTCAGAGTAAAATCACATTGGATGTGCGGTAGTGTAGAAGAATCCAAGGTCACCACTTAGGCAAGCTGCTAAATCTCCCCTAACCTCATGCATAAAATGGGGACAATAATTCATGCACTGCAAAGTTGTCAGGGTTAGATAATATATGTAAGTGCTTAAAACACAGTATGTATACTAAAAAATAGTTTATGTGTACATACATGTATCTTATACTATGTATATATGTGTGTGTGTATATATATACTTTTTTTTTTTTTTGAGACCGAGTTTCGCTCTTGTTACCCAGGCTGGAGTGCAATGGCGGGATCTCGGCTCACAGCAACCTCCGCCTCCTGGGTTCAGGCAATTCTCCTGCCTCAGCCTCCTGAGTTGCTGGGATTACAGGCACGCACCACCATGCCCAGCTAATTTTTTGTATTTTTAGTAGAGACAGGGTTTCACCATGTTGACCAGGTTGGTCTCGATCTCTCGACCTTGTGATCCACCCGCCTCGGCCTCCCAAAGTGCTGGGATTACAGGCTTGAGCCATCGTGCCTGGCCTATATATACTTTTCTTTTTTTTGAGATGGAGTCTCATTCAGTCACCCATGTTGGAGTACAGTTCTTGGCTCACTGCAACCTCTGCCTCCCAGGTTCAAGGAATTCTCCTGCCTCAGCCTCCCGAGTAGCTGGGATTACAGGCACCCACCACCATGCCTGGCTAATTTTTTTTCTGTTTTTTGTAGACACAGAGTTTCACTATGTTGGCCAGGCTGGTCTCCAACTCCCGACTTCAGGCGATCTGCCCGCCTTGGCCTCCCAAAATGCCGGGATTACAGGCATGAATCACCTGCCTCGCCTATATATACCATTTTTATATCATACATACACATGCATACACCTATCCCCAACACCAGCAAGGTGAGGATTTGGTCTTCAACTTGCTTCCAAAAACAGATGTTTGGCTGAGCATGGTGGTTCCCCCTGCCTCACTAATCAGCACACCTGCTCAGAGTTTACTATAAATGAAGCACAGGGCCAAACTATTTCCTGAAATTACTGCTCTCATTCAGTGGCCTGGTAAGCTAAGTTCCTTACCAAAATCTTTCCAAATAAAGGTGGCCTCTACTTTGGAGGATACAGAATTTAAGCATCACAAAAACCTGTATGTGGTAATAAAAGCATGTTGGCTAAAAGATAGCTAATGAGGATTCTAGTCCTTACTCCATGAAACTACATATGCACTTGGCCAAGTCACTTAACTTCCTAGACTAGCCTGGGGCTGAAAAGAAAAAAAAAAACCTTAGTAAAAAAATCCTAAGGCTGGGCACGGTGGCTCACACCTGTAATCCCAGCACTTTGGGAAGCCAAGGCGGGTGGATCACTTGAGGTTAGGAGTTTTGAGACCAGCCAGCCAAGATGTTGAAACCCTATCTCTACTAAAAATACAAAAATTAGCTGAGTGTGCTGGTAGGCACCTGCAGTCCCAGCTACTCAGGAGGCTAAGGAAGGAGAATCACTTGAACCCAGGAGGCAGAGGTTGCAATGAGCCCAGACTGTGCTACTGCACTTTAGCAAGACTCCATCTCAAAAAAAAAAAAAGGTTCTAGAAGCTCTGAAGCAGAAGAGGCCAAGGAGAAAGACAATAGCCTCAAGCCTGACAAGGTTTTTTTTGAGACAGAGTCTCCCTGTCGCCAGGCTGGAATGCAGTGGCATGATCTCAGCTTATTGCAACCTCTACCTCCTGTGTTCAAGCAATTCTCCTGCCTCAGCCTCCCAAGTAGCTGAGACTACAGACATGCACCACCATGCGCAGCTAATTTTTGTATTTTTAGTAGAGACAGGGTTTCACCATGTTGGACAGCATGGTCCCGATCTCTTGACTTTGTGATCTGCCACCTCAGCCTCCCAAAGTGCTGGGATTACAGGCATGAGCGACCATGCCCAGCTTTTTTTTTTTTTTTTTTTGAGATGAGTCTCACTCGTCACCCAGGCTGAAGTGCAGTGTTCGACATGGGATTACAGGTACCCACCACCATGCCCAGCTAACTTTTTTGTAGTTTTAGTAGAGACGGGGTTTCACCATCTTAGCAGGATGGTCTTGAACTCCTGACCTCGTGATCCACCCACCTTGGTCTCCCAAACTGTTGGGATTACAGGCGTGAACCACCACGCCTAGCCAAGCCTGACAAGTTTCTTCAAGTCAAAACAGTTTCAGGAAAATATAGTAAGAATCTATTTATATTTAAGTTCATGAGTCACATCCACATTATGTTCCTGGTAAAAATCAGAAAGGACACAGCAAAGAGCAGAAAGGGCCACCTCCATAGATTATCTGTCCATGCACCCATCTTTGCTTTCCAACCCCTAACAGAAACACTGACCCAGCCCCTCTGGGAAGATCAACCTTTGATTCAAAGAGATGTTGTTCAGCAATGATTACAGTCACAGCTACATGCCATCAGCCCACCAGGAAATCTGAGGAAGGAGGCAGACAACCAGAAGGAGAGTTGCTTCCTCTCTCACCAGGAAGCAACTCTAGCTCCAAACTAGATGGGTGATTCAGTGCCACATGGAGAAAGATAATTCAGCCATTGTGTTTTCAGGATTAAGAAGCGCTCATTCACTCGCGGAAGCCTTTAA